GCGGGAGCCGGCGCGGGAGCCCTCTCGTTGGGTTTCTCGCAGGAGCTCCACGTGGTTTGCAGAGGTTCTCCCGGCTCCGGAGCTTCTATGTGGTGGCAGCACTGAAACACGAGTGTCTGGGGAGCTGCAGAACGTGTCTGTGACCGCGAGCACCCGCGTGCTTGAGGGCCCTGGTGCTGAGGCCTGGAAGGGGAGGTCGCCCCGTGCATCGTTGGGAGGACTGGGGATAAATGCGGTTCCGCCTTGGAAGGCTTCAGGTCCGTGTGGGGGGAGGTCTTCGGCCCAGCCTCCCCAGTGCCGCGTGGTGGCCCTTGCATGCCACGACGGTCCTCGTGCAGGGCTTGTTTTTTTAAGAGCGGCCTGAGGTCCTTGCAGCTGCGCCGGCAAGGAGAGGGCCGGTAGCCGTGGGGAACGGCCTGCGAGGGGGAAGCGCTTTGCGGAATTTGCTATTTGTTTGGCAAGTGGCTTTGCTCAATGCCTCGCCTCTCGGGGCTGCTAGATTTGATAATTTTGCATTCAAAGCAGGAGTCGGGTCAAAAGTCGAAGATGGACCCGTGGATGCAGGTGGATCCTGGGCGTCCTGCATTTTTCTGAATTTTACTGAGAACACGAGAGTGTGGGGCAGGGAGGGCGGGCTTGGCTGAGACTGGGTGATAAATCCGTGGATCAGCTGGAAGGCAGCCCCAGCTCTCGGTGTGAGTTGCCCAGGATGAGCTGGGGCAGCCGCTGGCCCCTCTGCGGCACTTGTGGCACTGCCAGGAGCCCGCTCGTGTCAGCCCTTCGGGGAGCACTGGCTGCATGAGGCGGGTGTGGGGAGAAAAAAAAAAACCCCTGAATAATAAAATTGTAAAATAATGTTTTGATTCATGTTTTTTTATCAGCTTTTAATATCTGGAAATACTGTGTGAGCAAGGGGCCTTCATGAGCTTTGAATGACAGGTTAAAGGGCTCCAATAAAGATTAGATGGTCCACTATCTCCCGAGGAAATTGCATCCAAGTGGTTACTCCTGCCTGCTCCTATTAATTTCCTCTTCGGGGCCGCCTTGTCTCCTGGCGCGGCGGGCAGGGGCCAAGAGGCACTTTCCCCTATCTCCATCGCGGCCGTGTTGACGAGGCGATGGCGGCGTGGGGCCCTTTCGGCACCGGAGGAGCCCCCGAGCCGCGGGGCTGGACATGCGTCATGCCGGGCGGCTGGTCCCCCGCGTGGGGCGGCCGCGCTCACCCTCGCGCCCTTCTCCTGTGCTCTCTTGCAGCCTGCGCGCCGGGGACGTTCAAGGCCAGCCAGGGCGCGGGGACGTGCGCG